GCGGGCGGGGCGCGGGCCTGGACCCGAGCCTGCGCGGAGGTGGGCGCCCCGGGCCAAACTTTCTGAAGTTGAGAGGAGGAGGAGGCGTGGGGCCCGGAGAGCCCAGGACCCCGCGCCCGGCTGTGCGGGGAGGCGGCGATCGGGGCGCGGTGGAGCTGGGCGGTGGACTCGGCCTGTGATAAAGTGTGCACCCAGGAGTGAGGGAGCGGCGGTGACTCCGGGGAGAACGCTGGAGCGTCTCCAAGGTGTGGCTTTCTCGGCCGGGGGCTTGGGCGAGAGGAGCGCCGAGGAGTTGGCCTCGGGACAGGCAGGATCAGACATGGAGTCCCTGGCTCTAAGGAAGAGGGACAGCAGCCACTGGTTCAGCGGAGCCGGGGCCCCTGCCCCAGGGTCCTCCGCACTCTTCCCTGCTGTGCCTTCACTCAGAGGTCCAGAGCATCCGCACGGTGGCTAGGAAGGGGCCGGGGTGTGTGGGCCACCCTGGAAGGGCCACACCATAGCCGGAGGCCAAAGCGTAGGCTTCCCCGCTCCCACACCCTGGTTCTGGTGCCCCGGTTCCGGGTCAGATGTTCTGCTTGCCAAGGCCTTGTGGGGTTCTGCAAGGTGGAGACCGGAGAGCCCCCGTCCCTTCTCCCTGCATCCCCGTAGTCTGGAAGGCCTAGGAGGGGACTGGTAAAGAAGTGCCCTCATCTTTTTGGGGTAGCCAAGAAGCTAGGACAAGCCAAGAAGCTGGGGCCGGGAGAGTCAGGACAGAGCATAACCCCAAAAGGAGCTGCATACGGGCTAGGGGAGAATGAGCTTGTTCTGCTGTTCTTTGGGGACCAATAAGTAGGAGAAAGAGGAGGAGGGAGTTTCAGGTCCGGTGCAAGAAGTCGCTTTGAGGAGAGGACATTCTAGGCTGGAATCGGGGAGCCTCGTGACCCTGAGAGGGAGGGAGCAGACGATGTGCGGAGGGCCGTGTCAAAGCCCCTGAGCCTGCTCAGGACAGATGGCCCTGCGACCGGTGGGTCTTGGAGGTTCTCGCTCCCCTGCCCAATGCCTGGGGTGGAGAGGTTGGGGACCTCCGGGTTCCTGGCTGAAGCTCCAGCCTGGGGTGGAGAAAGTGCCCTGGGGACCTGGAGGTTGTGCGGTTTAGGCTGCCACCTGTGCTTGAGGCCTCACAACCGCCTCCGTGGACTCGGGTTGGCAGGCGGCGCTGGGACAGTGAGCGCTGAATTGGCGCCTCAGTCTTCACCCTCCTGTCCCAGCTCCGCTCCTGAGCACACCGCCAGGCCTGCGAGCCACGCTCCAATACTCCCTTTGACAGGTGACGCGAAGGTAGCAGCTTCCTTGGGGGAGGAACAGCTGTGGCTCTTGCAGGAGTCCCCAGCATGTGCTGCGCTGTCAGTACCTACTCATTATCGGCTCGGCCTTGCACCTTAGGGGTGGGACCCATGTGGTCATTCAGCCAACAGACCTGGTCCTGTTGACTCTGGGCCCTGCACTCACAGGATTGGACATACAGAAATAGAAGCTGGGCATGATGGCACAAGCCTGTAATCTCAGCACTCTTGGGGGCCGAGGCGGAAGATCTCAGGTTCCAGCCTAGTCTTTTTGTTTTGTTTTGTTTTGTCTTTTGGTTTTTTTCCGGTACTGGAAATCGAACTCAGGACCTTGCACTTGCCAGGCAGGCACTGTGCCGCTGAGCTAAATCCCCAACCCCTACAGCCTAGTCTTAATGGCTTAATGAGATCCTATCTCAGTATAAAAAATAAAAAAGGGCTGGGGTTGTAGCTCAGTGCGGAAACCCTGTGTTCAATCCCAGTATCACCATAAATGAATTAAAAATAAAGACTAAGCCAGGTGTGGTGGTGCACACCTGTAATCCCAGCACTCAGGAGGCTGAGGCAGGAGGATCGTTGCAAGTTCAAGACCAGCCTGGGCTACAAAGTGAGCTCAAGGCCAGCCTGAGCTGCATAGCAAGACCCTGTCTCAAAAAGACAAAAAAAGAGAAAAGACTAGACGCTTTGGTGCAGACCCTCATGGGCAAAACGGTCAACAGGGCATGAGGCAGAGGGGCTGGCTTAGGTCAGGGGTGGAGGGGCTGCTGCAGGAAGAGGTGGGCAGGAGAGCGTCGATAGGGTGTGCCAGGCCTGGGCTGAGTGGACAGGAGGGCGTGGCGCTGTCTCGGACAGTGTGGGATGGCTGAGGGGCTGGCTTTGTCCTAAGTGCGGTGGGAGTGCCTGCCCAAGCGGAAGCGCATTTATGCTGATGGCGGCTGAGAGTAAGTACCTGGGATGATCACCGCCCCCGAGGAGCCACTTGAGAGTTTTCAGAGCTTTCCCGGCGCTGTCTCACCACGTGTTCTAAATGCAGCCCCAGCAGCCCAGGAGTGGGTGTGGGGGGAGTGTTTCTGCTCACTGTCCCTGTGGCTCAGAATTCAGGGATGCTTGGAGCCTAGAAGTGGCAGAGGCTTTAGGTGCCTCTCAAGGAAACAGGGGGGCTATGAGGCCAGGATGCTTGCAGGCCGGAGGATGGGTTCTCCCCTTTAGTGGTCAGAGGAGATGCTGACCTCAGAGGCTACCAGGCTGGCCCTTCTGGGGACAGAACCCTGGGGCCATGCCCGGGCAGGGACAGCAGGGGCTGGCTGTGCTCAGGGCCTCTAGAGACTCCTCACTGCTGCCACTTGGTCCCCCGGCCTCCTCTGGGATTGTCCTTCTCAGGGTCAGCCAGCTTCTGCTGCAGTGCAGGCCACCACCTTGCCCGCCTCCTCCCACATCCTGTGCCCTACCACAGCCGCCTGGCCCGGGGCCCTGTGCTCCTGCCTAGCTTCCTAACTCGCTGACGCCGTCCCCCTCCCTGAGAGCCCCCACCTCCTGCCCTCTCTCCCCAGCCAGTCTCACGGGTGGCTTTCTCTCCTTGCTGAGCGGCCGGTCAGATGTCACCAGCTCCATGGACTGCCTGGCCCAGGGCACCCTTCCGAGAGTGGGTGCAGACTAGGGCCCGCTGCCTCCTCCCAGCTGGAGACGGAAACTCCAGCTCGCATCATGCAGCTCTCCAGAGCACAGAGGGCTGGCTGGACGTGGGCCCTGGGCCTGGGTGCCGGGGCGTCAGGGGCTCTGGCCTGCAGGCAGCTGTCAGCTTCGTGCTGCGATCAAGTACAGGAGGCAGGAGCAGGCAGACCCCGCCCACCAGAGCCTACGATGTCTGAGGGGCTCTGGCTCCCATTTCCTCCTCCCCCCAGTAATTATAATACAAAGGATGGCAGCATTTGTTGCAGCTGACCCTATATTAAAGCTTTTTCTTTCTTTCATTCATTCATTCCTTATTAAGTGCCTGCAATTGCACAGACGCGCTCTTGGGCTCTTTGGATATGTCAGTGAACAGAACAGCCAAAAGTGCTGCCTCCATGGAGTTGCAGTCATGTGAGGGAACACAGTGGGTTCCCATCAATTGGGAGGCTGAGGCAGGAGGATCACCGAGGCCAGCCTGGGTGACAAAAAAACAAAACAACACAAACCAAACAAAAAACAGTTGCGCAGTGGTGCATGCATTAATCCCAGCACTTAGCAGGCTGAGACTGAGTTTGAAGCCAGCCTGGGCTACATGAGTTCAAGGCCAACCTGAACTACATAACAAGACCCTGTCTTAAAAAAAAAAAAAAGTCATGTGAGGAAAGCTAGGCATGGTGGCGCATACCTGTAAACCAGGCCCCCTGGGAGGCCGAGGCAGGAAGATCACAAATTGGAGCCCAGCCTAGGCATCCTCACAATAATAAGACCCTGTCTCAAAATGAAAAGGGCTGGCTGGGGATGTGGCTGCAGTGTGAATTCAGTCCTCATTTTTGGAGAAAAAGAAAATCACGTGAAAAAATAACCCTGGAGCCAGGCGTGGTGGCGCACGCCTGTAATCCCAGCACTTGGGAGGCTGAGGCAGGAGGATCACTGGGAGTTCGAGACCAGCCTGGGCTACAAAGTGAGCTCAGGGCCAGCCTGAACTGCATAGCAAGACCCTGTCTCAAAAAGACAAAAAAAAAAAGAATAACCCCAGAACAAGGTGAATACAGGGCAGGATGATGGGAGGTGAAAGGGCCATAGGAAGAAAGGCAGAGGAGGAGGGAAGGTTGCAGTTTAAACGCAAAGAGCCACCAGGGGGCTTTGGGCTGGGCTGGGCGGGCTGGAGGGATGTGACAGGGTGGGTGTGACTGGGCCGGCCGCTGCTGGGCAGTCCCGAGGGGCTGAGTGCTAACAGGAATGTGGTGGCTCTAATGAGAAAGGACCTTGGGGACAGGAGACAGGGAAAGGGGGTGGGGCAGGTTCTCCCTTCAGGCTGGATACGGGGTGTGGGGCGAAAGAGAGGCCCTAAGCTGTGTTCTCCAGCTGTGCAAGGAGGGGCTGGGAAGATGGAGGGGCTGGAAGAGGGGGCCCCACCTGGACTTAGGCGTCTGAGGGGTCTTTCAGCTCCCGAGGCTGCTAGCCAAGAGCCTGAGGCAGGGAGCTCAAGCTGGGATGTGGATGGCGGCAGGAAAGTGGGAAAAAAAAAAAAAAAAGAGGGGCTGGGTGAGGTCACCTGAGGGCGAGGTGAGGCAGGATCCCAGGGGTTTCTTGGGAGCTGGGACTGAGGGGATAGGGAGGACCTTCAAGGTGTGCTGGAGGCTGAGTCAGGAGGGTGCTCTGGAGGACAGAATGCTGCATGGACTGCGCTGCCAGCAGGCACGGAGAAGAGGACTCAATGCAGGGGGCTTGGGGTACGAGCCGGAGGGGGCAGCTAGGAGCAGGACAGCTGAGGGAGACCGTTGCCATGCTGGTCCCCTCTGGTCCCCCTCCCTGCTGCCACAGAGGATGTAGAGCCAGGCCTGGCACTGGTCACGAACACTCACATAGCTTCTCTCCCCATCGATTCACCACCTCGGGTGCCAACCAAGTGCCCCCTGCCAGCCACACCCCCGCCTGAGGGGAGAGGGCTCCATGGCTCTCCTGGGAGTCTGCTGTCTGCTAGAGGAGCATCAGGGAAGGACGCAGTGTCCCACTCAGCATGTCTGCACTGGGGCACATGGGGGCCACCTGCCAGGGCACCAGGAGCTGGGTCTGGAGGGGAGAGAGGGTGGGAAGGGGAGAGGAGCAGGAGCAGGTGTGTCGTGCCCGCCCACCTGGCCGTCGCACCCGCGGGGCTGTCCATCAGAGGAGTGCCTGGTAAGCGGGGCAGCCCCAGGGCTTCAGTCCCCTGGAGAGACCCTGCTGCAAGCGCCTGGGATCCACAGCCTCACACTGCAGACCTCAGGCTTGGCCTGGCCGGGTCCTGGCGCAGCGGTCCCTGTGTGGAGCAGGACTTCCTGAGGGCTGCGCTGCAGGTGTGGGCTTCTGTCCCTCTCCTTGCTGTACGGTAGGATGGCTTAGCAACCTGGAGCCTCCCTTGGGAACCCTGAGGCCGCCATGAGGACCACCTGCACTCTGGCTGCTTCCCAGAGGACCCGGCCGCCGAGAGGGCCATCTAGTCTCCCATCACTGGGACTCAGTATCCAACACTCACAGTTGAAGGAGGAAAGGTTTATTTTGGCTCAGTTTGTAGACGTTTCAGTCCACAGTCCACAGGGGCGTGGCAGACCCGGGAGCAGAGAGGAAGCAGAGCGGGAGAGGGCGGAAGGGAGGAGCCAGGGAGGGGGCTGGAGAGAAACCTTTCAGGCCACACCCCCACCGACCACCTCTTCCCACCAGGCCCCACCTCCTGTCACGTCAGCTCTAAGCCCCCAGGATCCTGTCACCTCCCCAAAGCCCCGCCAATGAGCACCTGAGGCTTTGGGGGACATCTAGTTATAAACCACAGCAAGAGTTTTGGGCTTCTCTGTCCCTCCTTCCTGGGTGAACCCCTCCCTGCGGGGTGCCCTTGCTGCTCCCCTCGGAGCACTCTAGTCCAGAAAATGTTTTGGATGCAGCCAGAAGTTAGAGGCTTCTGAAGGACTTCCCAGCCGGTCCCCAGTGTGCGTGGTGGGTGTTAGGTGGGCTCCGGTGTCCTCCGTCCCTGGGACCTAAGTGCACACTGATTTTAACATCTGCTGAAAGTGGTATCTCCGTGCGGAGAGACCCAGAGTGCAGAGCGCCCTGTGACTGGGAGCTAGTGGGACACAGGGTGAGATGGGGTGACGTGGGCAGGGAGAGGCCTCCTCCACCCTCTGGTCGGGCAGCCGTGCTGTTTGTGCAGAGCTTGCAGGTGAAAGGTGACAGGAGCTGACCAGTGACCTCTGTCTGTGTCTCTTACAGAAAGGAAGACAGAGGAAGCCACGGCCACTGGACCCTGGCGAGGGCTCCAAGGACACAGACAGCTCGGCGGGGCGGCGGGGCAGCACAGGCAGAAGGCATGGGCGCTGGCGGGGCCGTGTGGAGAGCCCGGGTGTGCCCGTGGCCAAGGTGGTGCGGGCGGTCACCAGCTGGCACAGAGCCAGCCGCCGGGTCCCGCCAGTCCCGCCCCCGGAGCCCCCAGGCCGCCAGAACCTGAGCGGGGCAGCAGCTGGAGAGGCGCTGGTGGGGGCCGCTGGCTTCCCACCACATGGGGATACGGGGAGTGTGGAGGGCGCCCCCCAGCCTACGGACAACGGCTTCACCCCCAAGTGTGAGATCGTGGGCAAGGACGCACTGTCTGCGCTGGCCCGGGCCAGCACCAAGCAGTGCCAGCAGGAGATTGCCAACGTGGTGTGCTTGCACCAGGCTGGGAGCCTCATGCCCAAGATTGTGCCCCGGCACTGCCAGCTGGCAGGTAGGGAACGGGCACTCGGGTCCTTCCCAGGCTTAGGTGGGGTGGTCACATGACCCGGGCCCTCACCATCATCTCCACGGCCAAGTTTGCATGAAGTGTGTAGGAGGCCAAGGGGGAGCGGGGACCCTGGGCTCCAGGTCTGGCTTCCATCGGCAGCCAAACAGGCAGCCCCTCTTCCCATCCCCCCTGCTCTGCGACGTAGGCCGGGCCTCACCCCTGCCCCCGTTCTCTGCGCTCAGGCAAGATGAGTCCTGGCATCCAGTGGGACGAGATCCGAGCCCAGCCGCCCGTGGACGGTCCCCCAGTGCGCATCGCCTACATGCTGGTGGTGCACGGCCGCGCCGTCCGCCAGCTGAAGCGCCTCCTCAAGGCCGTGTACCATGCGCGGCACTTCTTTTACATTCACGTGGACCAGGTACTGCGCAGGGAGGCCGGGGTGTGGGGGTGAGCAAAGCAGAGACTCCAGAGGTCACAGACAGACCTCTGACGTGGCTCCGGCAGTTTAGAAAGAGGGAAATAAGGTGCCTTGCCCAAGGTGGCATAGCCAAGCCAGGCGTGGTGGCACACCTACAATCCCAGCATTTGGGAGGCTGAGACAGGACTGCCGTGCATCGAGGCCAGGCTGGGCTACGTAACGAGGCCTTGTCTCGGAACACCCCAGAACAAGTGAATGGGGTGGGGAGCCCTTTGGGGGCTGGGGCCCTGCCCGTGGCTCTCGGCACTCCGTGTCACCTGTCCTCTGTCTCGGTGGAGGTGGTGGCTCACAGACTGCGGTCTGACCTTAACCGCTGAGCGTCCCCTTCCCCCCAGCGCTCTAACTACCTGCACCGTGAAGTGGTGGCGCTGGCCCAGCGGTACGAGAACGTGCGGGTCACGCCCTGGCGCATGGTCACCATCTGGGGTGGCGCCAGCCTCCTGAGGATGTACCTGCGGAGCATGCGGGACCTGCTGGAGGTGCCTGGCTGGACCTGGGACTTCTTCATCAACCTCAGTGCCACTGACTACCCAACCAGGTGTGTGGGGTGCTCCGGACTGCAGGGGCGGCGGGGGGCTGGTGGGCTCCTCCTTGAGCCTCACTGTGGGTGCCCACAGTCCAGACATGGTCCCCCGGCCCCAGCCCTGTAGGTGATCTGGGGCCTGGGACTGATAAGACACGGGAGATGAGGATGAGCCAGAGGCCTCTGCCCTTGGATGCTGGGACGAGGGGTGGGGGAGGGGTGGGGCCTTCCCTAGGGGCCCAGAGCACCGGTTGGGACAGGGCATCTGGCCAGCAAGCTCTCAGCAAGAATAGAAGGAAGGTCCAGGGGTACAGGCTGTGCTGGAGGGAGACTGAGCACCCACTCCTTACACCTGCTTCCCTTGCCAGGACCGATGAAGAGTTAGTGACATTCCTATCCAAAAACCGGGATAAGAACTTCCTCAAGTCGCACGGCCGGGACAACTCCAGGTGAGGGCAGTAAGCAAGAGGCCCTGCTATCTTGTCACAGTCCTTTCCACAAAGGGGGATTCAGTGGTCCCAGCCCTGTGGTACAAAGCCTATAAACAGTGGTTGGGTATGGTGGTGCACGCCTGTAATCCCAGCACTCGGGAGCCTGAGGCAGGAGGATCGTTGCGAGTTCAAGGCCAGCCTGGCTACAAAGTGAGTTCAAGACGAGCCTGAACTGCATAGCAAAACCCTGTCTCAAAAAAGAAGAAAAAAACCTATAAACCAGCCAAGCATGGCGGTACCACCCTTGATCCCAGCTACTCAGGAGGCTGGGGCAGGAAGAGTGAAATTAAGGCCAGCCTGAACAAGTTAGTGAGAGCTTGTCTGAAAATAAAATAGAGGGCTGAGCGTATAGCTCAGTGGTAGAGCACTTGTCTGGGACGCGTGAGATCCTGGGTTTGATCCCTAGTGCCACCACCAAAATAAAAGCCTCCCAAACACTCCCAGATGGAGGAGTACTGGTTGGCAGGTGGAGGTAAGAGCTGCGACTCCACGCTGCAGGACCACAGCCACCCCCTCTGCCACCCCAGGTTCATCAAGAAGCAGGGCCTGGACCGTCTCTTCCACGAGTGTGACTCACACATGTGGCGCCTGGGTGAGCGGCAGATCCCAGTGGGCATTGTGGTGGACGGCGGCTCGGACTGGTTCGTGCTGACGCGCAGCTTCGTGGAGTATGTGGTGTACACAGACGACCCGCTGGTGGCCCAGCTCCGGCAGTTCTACACGTACACACTGCTCCCAGCCGAGGTGGGCGAACAGGTGGGGACGGGCAGGGCGCGTGGGCCCGGGCTGGCCAAAGCTCACCCTGCCCACCCCTGCCACCCCAGTCCTTCTTTCACACAGTGCTGGAGAACAGCCCCGCCTGCGAGAGCCTCGTGGACAACAACCTGCGAGTCACCAACTGGAACCGCAAGCTGGGCTGCAAGTGCCAGTACAAGCACATCGTGGACTGGTGCGGCTGCTCCCCCAACGACTTCAAGCCCCAGGACTTCCTTCGGCTGCAGGTGCTTTCCGGGGCCCCAGCTCTTCCTCAAGCTTTCAGGGTCAGAGAGGCAGGAGGGGCCTCTTCCTGGAGCCCCCTTGGCTCTGGGCCTGTAGAGCAGCAGCTGCAGCAGCAGCAGCCCCAGGAGCTGACCTCTGCAGCCCCAATAGTCCTCCCCCTCCCCCTCCCTCTTCCCCTGCAGCAAGTTTCCAGGCCCACCTTCTTCGCCCGGAAATTTGAGTCCACTGTGAACCAGGAGGTCCTAGAGATCTTGGACTTCCACCTGTATGGCAGCTACCCTCCAGGAACGCCAGCACTCAAGGCCTACTGGGAGAACACCTACGACGCGGCCGACGGCCCAGGCGGGCTCAGCGACGTCCTGCTCACTGCCTACACCGCCTTCGCACGCCTGGGCCTGCGCCACGCCGCCACTGCCGGGCCCCCACTGGGCACGCCGCTCTGCAGGTGAGAGCACTCTTCAGGGTGAGGCGTCATATTGGGGGGTGATCAGAAAGAGAAAGCAACTGGCCACAGTGAGGCCCCCAGCCCAAGGCAGGGTAAAATGCAAGAAAAAGGTAATGAAAGGCAAGAACCAGGAACGCAGGTGCTGTGGAATGTGAGACGTGAGATAAGCAAGTGTCTGGGGGTGGGACTCCCCAGTGCCCCCAACCCCTGGACTCCAGGCCAAGCCAGGTTGCTCATGGCATCTCCCTTTCTCCCTGCTGGAACCTTCTTAGGTTTGAGCCCAGGGGTTTGCCGTCCAGCGTGCACCTGTATTTCTATGACGACCATTTCCAGGGCTACCTGGTGACGCAGGCAGTGCAGCCCTCAGCCCAGGGGCCGGCAGAGACGCTTGAGATGTGGCTGATGCCCCAGGGGTCGCTGAAGCTGTTGGGGCGCGGTGACCAGGCCAGCCGGCTCCAGAGTGTGAAGGTGGGACAGGTCCTCCCCTTGCTTTCTCCGGACCCCTAGCAAGACCCAGGGAGTGGGAAGCTGGATGAGGGACACCGAGGGAGGGCTGAGGGGTCCATCAGGCCTCTGTGGCTGGGTTCCGTGGGCCCCCTCCCAGTGACCACGCCCCTGTCACCCTACTTGTTCACTCTGAGTGAGGAGCCCTCCCCATGGGGACACAGAGCGTGCAGAGTAGTGAGGGAATGGGCAGCTCCACTGCAATACAAGCCCAGGCTCCCATGCCACAGGGGTTCTTCCACAGGGACTGGGGTGCTCCAGAGGGGCCCTAAGGTTGCACATTTGGGGGTCCCCTCAGGGCCCTCCTGGAAGCTGTGGTTTTCCCCTGGGATGGGCTCCCTGCTAGCCCCAGCAGTACAGTAGTCAGGATAGAAGCCCAGAGTGAATGTCCAGGTTGAGAGATTAGAGTCCTCGTCTGACCCCTTCATCTTACAGATGGGGAAACTGAGGCCCAGAGAGGCAGTGATTGGCCTGACGTGGCAGTGAGAGGCAGCATCAGAGTAGAGAGGACATTTTTCCCCGGCGCCTGCCCAGCTGCCTGCCTCCCTGCAGGTTGGCACCGAGTGGGACCCCAAAGAGCGACTCTTCCGGAACTTCGGGGGGCTGCTGGGACCACTGGATGAGCCCGTGGCCATGCAGCACTGGGCCCGGGGTCCCAACCTCACAGCTACTGTGGTCTGGATTGACCCAACCTATGTGGTGGCCACGTCATATGACATCACAGTAGATGCAGAGACTGAGGTCACCCAGTATAAGCCCCCGCTGAGCCGGCCCCTGCGGCCAGGAACCTGGACTGTACGGCTGCTGCAGTTCTGGGAGCCTCTGGGTGAGACCCGCTTCCTCGTGCTGCCCTTGACCTTCAACCGCAAACTACCTCTCAGGAAAGGTAAGGATCTCATGCCCAAAAGATGCTCAAGAGCCTGGCAGAATAGGATCCGCCAGAATAGGATGCCACTAGGAAGCCAGCCACAAGAGCTGACTTGTCCCCAGGTGTGCCTGTAGCGGGCACGTGGGAAGGGGCTCTTGTGAGGTGGGCAGACTGGACTCCAGGATGTGGCAACTCCTCAGCCTTCCTGAGCTCCACCTCCTCCCGTGTAAAGCGGGGGTGGAGACTTCGGGGCGCATGGCGCTCACACCACCCCAGCAGCTTGAGGGAAAACGGAGATGCTGGCGAATGTGCCCCACCCAGGACCAGCAAATGTCTCAGGTCTCCCTGGGAACCAGAGCTGCTTTCTCCGCCCTTCTTGTCCCATGTCTCGTCCAGTCTCTGCATTGGCCTCAGGCTCTGCTCTGCCTGCGTCTCTTTACATGGCCTCTCCATGGCAGAGCCTGACTGTGCCTCGGGGCCCCGAGTTCCCTAGTCCTGGGATGGCAAATGTGAGTGGCCATCCCAGTCCGCCAGGCTGAGCCAAGGGCGCAGGCTGAACGGGCAGGGGCTGGGTGGGCGCCTGCTGGGGCGGCTCATGGGGCACTGGGGGTAAGAGGTAAGAGTGGTGTGGGTACAGTGGGTGCTTCCTCCCCTGCCATGCCCACTCACAAGAGGGTGGGTAAGAGCAGGGGTAGCACAGAGTGGGGTACAGGGCTGGCAGACCCAGGGCAGGTAAGCCATGTCCCCAGCTTGCATGGGACTCAGTCCAGTGGAAGAGACCTCTGAGGGAGGAGTAGAGGTGGAGGGCCTGGGTTGGGCCTTAGAGTGGAGGCAGAGCGTGTTCTAAGCTGAGGGAACAAGCTGGCAGGTATCAATGGGCATGGTGGTAGTTCACACCTATAATTCCAGCACTCAGGAGGCTGAGGCAGGAGGATCATTGCAAGTTCGAGACCAGCCTGAGCTACACAGTGAGTTCAAGGCCAGCCTGAACTACACAGTGAGACCCTGTCTCAAAACAAACAAGGCTGGCAGGTGTCTGGTGTATGATGGAGACAGAGGGTAGAGCACCAGCGGATACAGGGCTGACAGGAACGGAGTCTACTGAGCTTCTGAGAGCCACTGACAAGGGACAAGTGGCTTGTGGATGACACAAACCTGTTTGTTCCTTATTTTCTGAAGTAATCTGAATGCGCTGTTTGACTGAGTCCTAAACTTGGGAAATGAGGGATCACTGCCTTGGTTTCATACAGTTGCTCTTGGCTAAGCCCGAGGCCACCCTGCAAGATGGACTTGGGGAGGGGTGGTCCCGCGAGCCGCGCTCACTGCCTGCTCTGCACCCCCAGATGATGCCGGCTGGCTGCACGCGGGCCCGCCGCACAACGAGTACACGGAGCAGAGCTTCCAGGGCCTGAGCGGCATCCTGAACCTGCCCCAGCCCGAGCCCGCGGAGGAGGCTGCCCGGCGGCACGCAGAGCTCACAGGGCCCGCGCTCGAGGCCTGGACAGACAAGGAACTGAGTGGCTTCTGGTCTGTGGCAGGACTGTGTGCCATAGGCCCCTCTGCCTGCCCCTCCCTGGAGCCCTGCAGACTGACCAGCTGGAGCTCTCTGTCCCCTGACCCCAAGTCAGAGCTGGGGCCTGTCAAAGCGGATGGGCGACTCAGGTAGCAGGGCCCCAGCCGGCACGCCCGGAGGACCGGGCATTGCACCTTATGGACAGACAGTGAAGCGTGTCCCTCCCGCAGGTGAGGCAGGAGGCCCAGACAGTCACCCATTCCAGCCATCAAGAGCCTGTGGACGCAGCAGGCAGCTCTGCTAGGGACCAGAGGGGCGGGATCGGAAAAGGGCTCCGGCATCCCTGGCATCCCCTCCCAGGCCTGCCTCTCCCATCTCGTTTGTATTTTTTTAATATAAAAAGGGTGGTGGGGGAGGAACTGGAAACAAAAGATGTGCAATAGGGCTGGGAACAGCCCCAGGAAGTGGGCCATGTCATGTCGAGCCCTCTGCCACTGCCCTGGGACACACTGGGGCTGCCTTGTTCTCCCCGGCCTCCTCCCCATCCTGGACCTTGGTACTCATGGCTGTGGCTGAGGCCAGCAGAGCAGGTGACATGGGGGCCGCTGTGGACCTGGGCTCTCCGGGACAGCCTCTCCTCTGATAGCCAGGGGAGCCTACAGCAGGGGAGGGGCTGGCTGTGGGGCGTCCCAGCACACCCTGCCCCACAATGGCGCAGTAGGGCATTGGGACCTGCTGCGCCCAGCACAGGGTGCCAGGTGCTCCGGGTGCGCGCTGCAAGGGCGACCTCAGTAGCGGCCTGGGTGAGGACCGTCACCCTGAGGTCAGGGTGCTCAGAAGAACCCGGAGCTGCATTGTGCCTGAAGCTCAGTGTGAAGTCTGAAATATGCAACAGAAGAAATATATCTCTATCGCTCTACACCCAGCCTGCCTCTTTCCTCGTGTGTGTTCCCTGGCCTCCTGGAAGCCTCAGCTGCTGCTTCAGTAGCCCTGAGGGCCACCGTCTTACTCCTCCATAGCAGGAGCCTAGCCAGGAGCCAGAGGGCTGGAGAAACATCCGGTGCAGCCCTTTCTCTTTTTTGAGGCAGGGTGTCACTGTGTACTTCAGGCTGGCCTTGAGCTCACTCTAGCCCAGGCTGGCATCAAGTTTCAGGTAATCCCCTTGCCTCAGCCTTCAAGTGCTGGGAATGCAGGTGTGCGCCATTGCATCCGGCTGGTTCCTGAGCACCCTGACCCAGCATCCCACCCACCAGTGGGCCAGGCTGTGGCAGACACTGCTCCTCTGCCTTCAGCGTCCACTGGCCCATCCCAGAAGCCCCATTGTTTCGGCTTTCTGCCAAAGCCCTGCCTTTCAAGGCACCAGGAACAGAGAGAATCGCAGCCACGGCCTGCTGGTTAGCCTGGGAACTTGTCCCTTGTAGGCCAGGAGCAGGGTTTGGGTCACTGGCCACTCCCCTAGGGCCTGGAAGGGCCATGTCAAAGAGGTTCGTCTACCTGCCCTCCCTTCTGCAAGCGCACTCTCCACCTCTGACTGTCCTGGTGTCAGCAAGGGCTCAGCTTCAGTCCTTCATGCCTTATGTAACGTGGGGGCAGGAGAGGAAGCTGCTAGACCTCTAATTCATCAACCAGCCATACTGCTTGCTCAGCTTAGGACTAGGCTCAGTTCCTGCCAGGACTGCCACTTCCAGCTCTCCTGTGCCAGGAGAGGGCGCTCCTGACCACTGTTTGGGCTGGTGGGTTAGCCGTGCTGATCTTGCCCGATAGTTTTAATCCTCAGAACCCTTCTTCTGGCAGGCGCTTTTAGTATCTTTTCCTACCAGCTCCGGGAGCTGTGGCTTAAGGCTGTGAAGCCTAGCCCAAGGTCCAGGCTGGGCTTGAACTCACTGCATAGCCCAGGATCTCAGCGACCCTTCTGCCTCGGCCACTGAGTGCTGGGATCGCAGGCATGTGTCACTGTGCCCAGCTGTTCTGTTTTTGGTGTACTGAGGATTGATCCTAGGTGCTTTGCACTGAGCTACATTCCCAGACCTTTATTTTTTGAAACAGGGTCTCACTAAATCGCTAAGTTGCCCAGGCTGGGCTCAAACTTGGATTCTCCTGCTTTGGCCTCCCAGAGTGCTGGGATTACAGGTGTGCACCATCACGTGGAGCTGGAATTTACATTCTTGTTTAGCCCAGCATGTAATGATCCTCACTGAGGGCTCTGATTTAAACCGTGGCAGTGATCCAGCGTCTCACTGGAGGAAGGCAGAAGTTAGCTCTGCAGCCCCAGGCACAGGCTCAGGACTCCTGACTGGCTCAGCAGGCAAGCTGGTGGGGTGAGGCCCTCCTTGCTGCCCTCCCGGTTCAGGTTCTTTCCTGGCCGTGGTCCTGCCCGCCTGTCTTTCTGCAAGGCTGCCTGAGCCTGGAGGCCTGGGCTTTTGAGGCCTCTTTGAAGTCCTCCCCTGGTAGCCAGGGCCCCTATGGTGAGGATGAGACCTAGGGCCAGCAGGACGGGGTGAGGGTGGGGAGTGGGCTCAGGCAGGCTAGGCCAGGAGCTGCTTGCTCAGGAGTGAGGAGGAGAGCTCAGGCTGAGAGGCCTTTGTGTTTTGTGGCCCTCGAGCCCAGTTTCCAGGGCGACCTCAGATACCGTGGCTCCATTAGAAGTGGGAGCCAAGAGGACAGCCAACTGGCACGGATGGGCAGTGCGGGGCAGAGTCGGGCTGGGGAAGTGCAGAGCTCCGGGTGAGCTGGGGGCCGTGGTTGCCACCACCACCCCCTTCGCAAGTTGACAGAGGGGCCCAGAGGCTGCCAGGCGTGCAGAGGGGAGTGCTGCTGTTACAGGGCACTAGCATGTGGTGCTGACGAGGATGAGCAGAAGCAGGAATTTGGGCAAACGTGGAGAGCTGCTCGAGGCTGCCCAGGCCCTGAGAGGGGCTGAGCCTTCAAGGCCAATGCCCTTTTCTGGTGCCCGGTGCCAATGCTTCCCTGCACAGCCGCCCTGCTAGCGGTAGTCGCAGCCACTGGTGAGCACCTGCTGCCACCGCCAGCTGAAAGACTACCCTGGCCCCTCACTATAGGCCAGAAGCCCGGCCTCGTCCCTGTGCCACCTGGAGTGACATCCTCCCACTGCTCTCAGGACGTGCACTGCGTCCCCTCCCTGTCTGTGCCAAGTTCTACAAGGCCAAGGTCTCTGACAGCAGGAGGGCTGGGGCCGAGGGCTGTGAGTCCCAGCTCCCTGGTCTCTTGCTTCCGCAGACCTGCGTTTCCAGAAGTCTACTCCTTCCCTTTCCTAGGCGTCCCTTTATAAAGCGTTCCTTCTGCGCGTCACTCCTGCGACACCCCTTCACGGGGCTGAACGCCTGGGATAAAGCCACTCTGCCCTCCGGCCGCCTGCACCTCAGCTCGCGGACTCCCAGGGTGGGGGCTGCACTGCGGAAGGAGACGGCACAGACTGCCCTGAGGAAGCCCTTTGGGAGATGGTTTCCTCCATGCCATAGTGTTTCTCACAGCCCTGCTGCTACTGCTGCCCCAGTGCCACCCCCTCTGCCAAGTTCCCTGCTCCTGCCCCTTCTTCCAGAGTCCGACCATAAAGTAGGCGCCCCCGGCCCCGGGTTCCGAGGAAAGGGCCCCGCACTCTGCCCAGGGAGCAGCTCAGTAGCCTGCGTCCCTGGGAATTGGGGCAGCAGGACGGAATAGGTTAATGACATCCGGCCCCCTCTGTGCAGGGACCCTCAGTGAAGACAGCTGCCTGTCCCCAGCTCCGGGGGAAAGCCCAGCCTGACTCTGCTAGTCCCCTCCCTGGGGATGGGGCACCAGGTGCCATCTGGGTAGGGAGAGAAGAAATGTCAGCTGCAGTCCCCCTGGTTCTGACCTCAATTCAGCACCAAGCCAAGACTCTTCCTGCAAAGGTCCCCAGAGCTGCTGCCCCTGGACAGGGAGCCGAATCTACCCACCAGGGCACTTCAGAAACGCAGAGGGCGGCTGCAGAGAATCAGTGATGAGCGGGCTGGGCTCTGCTCCTGCACGCTGACCCTAACTCCTGAGCCTTGCCCTGAGCCATCCTCACAGTCCCCTGCCCTGCCCCTCTACCTCAGCACTGTGGCGCAGCTGCCGAGGTCCAGCCAGTGTAGAGCAGCCCAGGGCACTGGGACAGTGGACGAGAGAAGACCCTCAGGGCTGGCCCCGGGAGTGTGGAGGTGTGCTGGGACCCTGAGCCAGCCCTGTGTTGGCTAGGACTGGGGAACGCGAGGGAGAGGCAAGGCCAGAGCAGCCGGAGCCTGGGGACGCTTCCGGGAGGGGAGGAGGGAGCAGGGGACTCTGGTCCTGGAGGCACTGCACTGTTCAGGATTCTGGGTTCTTCTGGGTCACAGGGCCGCCCCCAGGCGGGTGAGATGTGAGGCTGCCTAGAAGCCACCAACCACCCCGTGGCAGCTAGCACACCTGCCCAGCTGTGTCCGGAAGGAGGATTGGCAGCAGCCGATCCACCAGCTAATTACACAGTGCTTTGGGCTTAGGGACTGTGGAGAGACGACCCTTCAACCCTCCCAGCTGTGGGGGCCTTGCAACACAAGACAGTGCCCACTTAGGACCCCTCAGGTCAAGACAGGGAAAGGGCCAGCAGTGGAAAACCCCAGGACGTGATGGTGGCCCCATCACATCTCTTTGTATAGGGGAGGGTGGCAGACCCCAGTCCGGGGGTGGGAGGAGGCTATTAGGCTCCTCCGAAGGGTTTCCAGGACAAGCTTGTCCCTGGGGCAGAAGCGACACAACAGGAGCAGTCTAAAATGGCCCGTATATACATGGGGGGAGGAATGGAATGACCGATACTTTTGTGCTCCCATCCCTGCAGCTGCCACCAAGCTATGAAGGGGCCTGCACCACCACTCATCCCAGGAAGCAGCCTCCTGCCCTGCGCAGGGCAGCACCACTGTATGGGAGGGCATCCGTACCTGGCCTGCCCTTCCCATTCCTCAGGGGACGGGACAGGACAGCACTGAGCCTGTGAAGACGGCCCCCACCAAGGCACTATCCCAACTGGGATAGTGGGGTACTGGGACCCCACTTGCAGGCCACCAAAGTGAATCCCACAAACGGCGGTCACCTTTGGAAGGTTCTGCAGGTGGAGAATCTGGGGTCACACCCTGAGATGATGAGGCAGCACCCTAGAGCTCCAGAAGAGGGCACCTCTGCCCTCAATGCCAGAGCCCCAGCCTGCAGGTCGTGGAGTCCTGGGAAGGAAGCGAGCCTCTGTAAGACCCTCGGACTGCAGCCAATACTACTACCTCTAATACTCTCCCAGCCCAGCCTGAAGCTGAAGACCTGAGTGGTCCCAGGGCCAGGCTCCCAGCTGTTTTCAGCTGGAGATACATCAAGAACCAGAAAAGCATGTGTGTCTGGATTTGGGTGGGTGGAAAGAAGTCACTTGTCACCCACTCTCCCTCACCGTCGGGAAGGACCCTGCTATTCCTGAGCAGAGGAGCCTGACAGAGATCTCCTGCCATCCCACAAGCTCCTTCGCCCAGACTCACAGACAAGGCCCACTGTGTAGCCACCTCCCGGGCTGTGGGCTGCTCCCTTTGCATGTGAACAGCATGTGAACACAACTCTGCTGCTTCTCCCGTCCCCCGCCTCCTCCCAGGCCCAGCCCCAGCCCCTGGACTCTTAGGGGACCCAAGGTGGAAACAGCAGCACTGCCCTGCAGCCCAAGCTCTCCTCTTCCTCTCTGGGATGGTGCCGAAGCAACCCACTCCTCAAAACAAGGCCTCCTTGTTCCCTTACCCTGTGGTCCTCTTCCCTGCTTCCACCCTCAGTACGCACGCGAGGACATGGATAAGACCAGCAAGTAGCAGCAGCTGCATACTGCGCTGTCCCCACACAGCTAGCTTTATTCAGACCAGGCCTGCTCTCCCAAGGTCTTCCCAGTGTCACTTCAGTCTTCTGCAGAGCTACATCCAGCGGGCCTCTTCCTCAAGGCGGTCGTGACACTAACACTCGATTTCTTCTGGTATCACCTTCTTCACCTTCTGGGCTCCAAGTCTGTCCCGTGTTCACCCAAAACTTCAAAGCATAGCTACTAGTTTGAAGGTGCCCTCAGGCTTGGCAGGAACTACATGGACAAAAGTCTTGTAGAGCACAGCACCCTTGGGCAGCCTGGTGACCAGGTCCACGGCCTCCAGGTCGCTGGGCTTGGGCACGTAGACCTCTTTAGTGTAGCGGACTATCCCCTCCTCCAGGGCATACAGGCACTTCCTCTTCCCCAGGCCCACCTGCAACAAGACCTGGTCAGCTGGCCAGCGTGCCTGGTGGCCTGTCCCAGGTTCCCATGCCCACTGCATGGCACTTCTTTGCCAACTCCACAACAGAAGAGGGAAAACTCACAGGCCTCTAAGCCAGGCCCAGGAATGTGCCCCCATCATTGCCCCTGGGAGCATGCTTTATATTTAGACTTAAAAGGCACCCAAGCTGTCACATTAGGTGTTACCTTGATGTACATTTTCACTTACGTAAAGCTTAGGCTCTTTAGAAAACATAGATGACCGCTTCTACGGGTAATGCATAAGCCAGTAAAACAGTAACGCAGCAACACAGCGAGCACTTACACTGTGCTGCCCACGCGGAAGCGCAGCTCCCAGCCCGTATATGTCAACTCCTTTAACCCTCACCTTGGGAAGTAGGTAGTATTCCCAACCCTGTGTTGGAGACACTGAGTAGGAAGCATGAAGAGGCTGGATAAACTAGTATATTCCGATTTTAAACTGCACACGCTAACTTGTTTCTTCTAGGACCTCAGATTTGATCTGTGGCAACTTCTACCCAGGAAGCTGAGCACTGGCGCTGTCTCTGACTAGAAGCTCGGGCTCTGGAGCCAGGACGCTGGTTCACAGCCTAGCACTCTACTCCCACTGCCTTGGGCAAGGTGCTCTTCTACTGTGTCTCTGTTTTCCTTCTCCAACTCGGGGAAAAAACTGTACAAGGCCAATTTAGGGTTAAATGAGATGACAATCACACACCTTAGATTATGCCTCAGCTCAAAATATGTTACCTTTGACTATTAATACTTCAGCAAGTCCCAGGAGTTAGCAGAGCCACACAGCCAATGCCTTTTAAGTTCTAAAAGATACAGCTATTACAAATGTAGTCAATTCACATCCAAGTTAGCATCTTTAATTAATGATAGTTTAGTATTAGCCTTTTACGATCTATTAAAATTACCAATAGATAGTCTGGCAGTGTGGCTCAGTAGTAGTGTACTTGCTTGGCATGTATGAGGCCCAAGGCTTGGTGCCTAGGGCCACACAACAACACACACAAACACACACAGAGAAAACTAAACTAACATTTAAAAATAACATGACATGTACAGCATAGTTCTCTTAACAAAGAGCTTCCCCAGCTGGTGAAGTAACCCCAACTTGCTGAAACTGAAATTTCTGCTGGCATGGATCTAGTTTCTGTTACACATACTGAATTCTATTTTACTAAACTGAAGCTGTCTTTCAACCACATGAGAAGTTTGTGCAACAGAAAAATTCTTAGAAATAATTAGAAATAAATTGAAGGGGCTAGGGATTTAGCTCAGGGGCACAGCGCCTGCCTGGCAAGCGCAAGGTCGTGAGTTCGATTCCCGGTACCAGAAAAACAAACGAACAAACAAACAAAAGAAATAAATTGAAATTAGTTTCCTAAGGTTCAAAAAATATCTGAAATCACAGCCAAGCAACATGGTGTCAAGAGTCGCCACCTTCCAGAATGGAGGAAGAGACAGTACTGGTCATGTCCTTCACTATCGGGGGGCCTTGCTATAATTCTGCCCCCACTCAGCCCCGACACCACATACACCAGCATGCTCAACCAGGCCACGACCTACAACTACCCAGTGCCTGTCCAAGACGATGGGAACACGCCTGACGCGCCCAGCCACCCCCAGGATCCCCAGGGCCCCAACCTGGAGTGGCTGAAGAAATTGTGCACGCCTTTTTCCATATGCAGGGAGGAGGCCCCCTGTCCTGCCCCCCAATAAAAGTGTGAAAACCAAAAAAGAAAAATCTGAAATCACAAAGTATTTCATCCTCTGAGAACTGCGGGTTAGAAAGGAGAATCAAAAAACACCAGGCTAAAAAAAAAAACCAAAAAACAAACCCACCAGGCTAACACCATACTGAGGTAAAACAACCACAGTCAGACTCCCAAATTACCATGCTTCTTGTTGCGAAGCAAAGTATTACATTTGATTCTACTAGAATAAAAAAATTCATTTCCTTTGAGCATAAAAAGAAAAATGTCTACACGATTCAGAGGGCAGATTAATAAAACATTTAAGCCAGGCATGGTGGCGCACAGTAATCCCAGCACTCGGGAGGCTGAGCAGGAGAGTCTCCATGAATTGAAGGCCACCCTGGGTTACCTAGTGAGTTCAAGGCCAAACTGAGCTACATAGTGAGACCCTGTCTCTAAATAACTAAATAAATATAAAATAAACATTTAAAGCTGGGCCAAGTGGTGCACACCTGTAATGCCAGCTACTTTGGAGGCTGAGGCAGGAGGACTGCCGGCCTAGGCAGCTGAGAACTTGTCTCAAAAACCCAGATAGAGCACCTCTGAGTTCAATACCCAGTACCAAAGTGGGGGAACAACTAAAAATGTATGGTCATGAGTAAGAACCCTGCCATCTTCAGATTACTAAACCTAAAGCAAATTGCTTGTCAGTCCTCAGATAGCTACAGTTGCTCCATCTATCACATATAATTCACTGCCATTTCCCAATGAAGAGATAATGAGGCCCAGGCCATGCAATGATCTACTGTTAGGAAAATCCCAGCTATCACTGGGACCTGCCGCAATCAAGGTCTCTGACACTTTGCCCGTAAAACAGTGATGACCCCCACCTCACAGGACACATCAGGAGAAATGGCAACATGGGCACAAGAAAGGGCTGCTTGGCATATGGTGAGCATGCAATAACTGTAACTGTTATTGCTGTGCTTGGGCATGGAAGGCTCATTCTAGAAAAGAGGGGCCAGAGAGCAACTCACATGGGCACCTGGGTGCCAGCGGAACTGGCGCTGAGTCCCGATGATGTTGCCAGCATGCACGTAGTGACCTGGAAGAGAAGTCCGCAGGCGCACTGAGCTCCAGGGACCACGGCCGCCCGGCAAAGCGCCAGGAAACCCGACTGCCCAGGTGCTGCACAGCAGCCGTTGGGCCTCATTTCTCCAGCCCCGTGGCTAAGGCCCACACCTCCGTGTTCCTCCCCAGGCACCCCAGCACCTCTCAGGTCTCATCTGCCCTTCACTCGGCAGCCAAATGCGAGGGCGGGCCGAGCAGAGCACTGGGCCAAGCGTCTGCGTGGTCTCCTGCTCTTCTAAGCAAAGCCAGATGGCCCGGCGGGGTGCACGCAGGCACACCCTCACCTTCCATTTTCTTCATGCCGAAACGTTTGCCTGGGGACTTCCCACCAAGGTTTTTGGAGCTGCCACCTGTCTTCTTAGATGCATATCTGACAGCAAGAGCTGTAGCCGGAGGAGGGCTCAACAGGGCTGAGACTGTAGAGAGAAACAACTGCTCAGAGAGGCTCCCAACCAGACACTTGCTCCCCCACAACGGGCCTGTGCTCAGCTGCGGTGGCAGGGGAGGTAAGAAAGATGCCGGAGGGGCGGAGATACTAAGTGTGCTGCTTTTGAGGAAATGCTGCAAGTCCTTGGCCCTCTACCACGGCAAGGGCCACCTCATTCCTGTGCCATCTGGGGTGGAGCACCGCATGCGGGTGCACGTGTGGCTGAGGGGACAGCAGTGAAACGGAAATGAACACCAGGTGCTCTGGACCCTGATACATTCAGTCCTGCCAAGGAGAAACAACAGCACACAAACGTTAGAAGCACACAGGAGAACACCACAGACCCTGCTGCATAGCTCCACTCACCCCAGGCCCTGTGGAAGGGGCTGGCCAGACTCGGGGAACCCTGACGCCGGACCCCAGAGAGGCTGAGGCAGCGAGCACTGGCACACAAAAAGGGCTCCTCGTCATTTCAGAAGGCTGGGCTTTCTTCCCAATGCCCAGGGGAGAGTCAACCAGGAGCAACACACTTTTTGTTTTGTTTTGTTTTTCTTTCGGTACCGGGAATAGAACTCACGACCTTGCATTTGCCAGGCAGGCACTGTGGCACTGAGCTAAATCCCCAGCCCCCAGGAGCAACACACTTAACTGAGAGGTTAATCAGACCTTTCCACGTTAACCCCAAAGTGCTCAATGGCATTTACTTTAAAAAAGAAAATAGCTTGGCCTGGTGGTGTGTGATTGTAATTCCAGCTACTTGGGAGGCTGAAACAAGAAGAATGCAAGTTCACGGCCAGCCTGGGCCACCTTCGCAAGCCCATTTCTCAAAATTAAAAACAAAAAGTCCTGGAAATGTAGATCAGGGCTCCCTGGTCTCAATCCAGGGTCTCCCTATGTAGTTCAGGCTGGTCCTGGACTCACTATGTAGCCCAGGCTGGCCTTGAACTCACAGCATTCCTCCTGCCTCAGCCTCCCAAGTGCTGGGATTACAGGCATGCACCACCAACAAAATTTTTTTTCAAAAAGCAAAATGAATGAAAACATACTGACATGGAAGACCCACAGTGATATGACAAGCCTAGGGTTAACAGTTCTTGCCTTAGGGTCTCCAGACACAGCCACGGTTGGTGACCATGCCAGAGTCTTAGAGAACCTTTGCGGGTGTCTGGAGCCAAGTTTAGCGTCCCCAAAACGTAGGTTTGTGAAGATTTCCTGGGAACAGAAAGTAGCTGGGATGATGAAGGACCAAGCTGAACTTAAGAGAGACAACTCGTTAGGAACCTAGCACCAGGCTCCACCGTCCTTTCTGCATCTCAATCTCACGAACTGAGCTATGTGCCCTATCTGCATGACCTCAATTCTAAATTTCTGCTCTTCTCCCAACTGCCTATCTTTCTCTTCCAAGTAAATGGTGCTGAGCTTTACCCAGCTGCGCAGGCAGAAACAGCAAAGTGTGGATTCTCTGTGCCGACCTCAGGTATCCAGTTCATCAGCAAGCTCTGTGACTTCTAGCTCCAACACAGGCCTTGAGTCCATCCACCACCACTAACACATTGGCTAAATTACTGATCCTCAGGGCTTCCTATTCGGTTTCATTTTCATTCCTACCCACCCCTCTTATTTCTTTTTTTCTTTTTTTGAGAGCCTCACTATGTAGTTCAGGATGGCCTTAAACTCACTATGCAAGCCAGTCTGGGCTCAAACGTGCAGCAATCCTCCTGCCTTTGCCTCCTGAATGCTGGGGTGAGAGGCGTGCAGCGCCACACCTGCTGCGACCCCCACCCTTTTTTTATTTTCTGCAGTACTTGGGCTCAAATCCAGGACCTCCTGCATGCTAAGCAGATGCTCTGCCTCTGAGCTACATCCTCAGCCCATGCCCCTGTAATTAATAAGAGCAACAGTTTGCATCATAAAATGTAAAGCTGGGTCAAGTTTTTCTCCTGCCCGCTGTAGAAGGCCAGGCCTCTTCTTTTCCTCTAGGTGTTAACTCAGGTTTTATCTAAGAGGACCTGCCTAACCATCTAATCTGACAAGCAGGACACACACCCGTTTTTCTCTTCCTTCCCAGAACCTGTCACAATTTCTTTCTGGATGCTTAGTGGCTTATCTACTGCAAATAGCTGCTGGGGTGGAGACCCGTCCGCAGAATGAACGTCCACAAAGACAGATCTAAACCTGTTAAATGGTCAGTTAAGGCTCCCGAGCCCAGCCCTATCCGTAAGCAGTAGCGGCCCACAAGCGCCCACAGAGCTGCAGCGGGCCGAGCTCCGGAGGCGGGGCGGACTCGCGCTCCGCTAACCCACCCCGCGGCTCCGCCCCGGACGCGTCACGTGACGGCCGACAACCGCCCACGAACTCTCACGTGCCTCCCCACAGCCCCGTCCATGCGCCCAGGATCGTCCGCGGGAATCAACTTCCATCCCTCCAGCCTCCCCGCCGGTGCGCCCCTGCAATGGCTGCAGCAACCCGTTACCCGCTGAGCGTGTCCTCAGGGCCAGCGCCACCGTCGCCATGTTTGCCCCACGGCCGCTTCCGGTCTGGACAATCGACTTCCGCTACCGGGAGATCTACTTCCGGGTCCCGCGTAGTAGTTGAAAGAGTGGCGCGAGAAGTAGCAGGTGAGCCGGGTTGGTCATGGAGCTTCCGCAGGTCGAGGCTGGCGTCCCGAGCGCCGCCGTGCAGGGGCGTGATGACCGGGGACTCCTACCGCTGGCCGCCGGCCTCAGCGGGGCCCGCCTGTCTCACTGTCTGGTTTTGCAGGAGTCAGCCGAGTTGCAGGGAGGGGACAGGGATGAGCACCAGCCCCCGGGCCTGGCATATACACGGAGAACTGTGAAATGCCCACGCAGACATGTACAGCGGATTGCTCATAGCACCACTGTTCATCATAGCCAAAAGGGAAAGACACAGAATGTTCATCAAGTGATGAATGGATAAACAACATGGCAGAGCCGTACAACGGAATAGTACAGGAGACTAAGTGGGAGAAACAGGGCACAAAAGGCTACATACTGTATGACTCTGTTTATCTGAACTAGCCAGAACAGGCAAATCCATGGACACAGTAGATCTTTGCTTGTCACGGGCTGGGAGAAGGAAGGAATGGACAATATCTGCTTAGTGACTGTAGGATGTTTTTTTTCTTTTGCTTCTCTTTATGTTTTTCCTGAGACAGGGTCTCACTTTGTAGTTCAGACTAGCTGTGAACTCACTATGTAGCCCAGGCTGGACTCGAATTCTAGCGATCCTCCTGCCTCAGCCTCCCGAGTGCTGGGATTATAGACATGTGCCACACCACACAGTTTCTTTTTTGAGGTGATAAAAATGTTCTAGAATTATATAGTAGTGCTGAATTTACAAAAGAGTACTAAACCATACTTTTTTGTTGATGGTTTTGCAGTACGGGGGATGGACCCTAGGGCCTTGTACATACTAAATAAATACTACCATTCAGCTATACCTCCAGCCCCTGAACTGTGCATTTTAGGCTGTGGATGGTGGCACATGCCTGTAATTCCAGCTACTCAGAAGGCTGAGGCAGGAGGATTGCAAGCTTGAGGTCAGCTTGGGTAACATAGATGCTGTCTCAAAATTTAACTTTTTTTTGTTTTTTTGTCTTTTTTGAGACACTGTTGTTTTGCAGTTCAGGCTAGCCTTGAGCTCACTTTGTAGCCCAGGCTGGTCTTGAACTCACAGCATTCCTCCTGCCTCAGCCTCCCAAGTGCTGGGATTACAGGCCTGCTCCACCACGCCTGGCCTTTTTTTTTTTTTTTTTTTTTTTTTTTAAGGTGGGGATAAGGCTTAGTGGTAGAGCATCCCTGTATTCAATCCCTAGTACTGCAATAAAAAAAAAAGGATAAATTCTATGTTTAAAATGATGAACATTATATGAATTATATATCAAGTTTTTAAAAAGTCAGTTCTTGAGCTCTTCATTTCAAATACAGATAGCAACAAGGAGGTCGTGGTGAGTCTCCTTACTACTGGCATTAAAGCTTTATAAGTATTGGACATGGTGATGAATACCGGTAATCACAGCACTCAGGAAGCTGAGGCAGGAGGATCATAAATTTGAGGCTAGCCTGGTCAACTTAGCCAGACTGTTTTAAAAAAATTTTATAGGGGTTGAGGATATAGCCCAGCTAGAGTGCTTACCTAGTGTGCGTGGGGAGACCCTGGGTCCCGTCCACAGTCCACAGCACTATGAAAACAAAACACAGCTAGAGGACTGAACTGAGCGCGCCTGTGTCTCACCTCTTTCTTCCTTTTAGGTAATTCAGCAGCACGCACTGATGGCTCTAATGAAGTCGTCGCTCTCGTTGGATTCCAGTGAGAGCGATTCTGAGGAGTTGCCAACATTTGCCTTCCTGAAGAAGGAACTGACTTTGGCCAAGAGGAAGCAGCCTGCAAGGCCCGACGAGATCATTGTGGTCCATACCTCAGACTCCGAGGCCTCCCAGCCGCCATCCCCAGGGTTGGGGAAGCTGCACGCAGCCATCACTTCCACCCAGGCACAGCCACTCCGAGTGCCGAGTGGTGAAAGTGAGGATGAAGAGGAACTCCTCCCCCTGGCCAGGCGGCTTCAGTGTAAGTTCCTGACGAACAGGCAGCCGAGCTCCCAGGACCCTGGCCCCTCGGGTAAAGGAGCCGAGGATCATCAGAATGAGTGGCTGTCACGTGACTGGGAAAAGCCATCCTTTCCAGAGACCTCCGGTCTTCCCCTTGGCGACAGCTCCGTGCCTACTGCAGCAGATAACCAGGCCCAGAGCTTAGACTTCCCATGCCGTGACCCCCCAGCACCCCAGCCCACCTGCCTCACCCAGGACAACAGATTGGCAGGAACCAAAACGAAATCTGGTGTCACCCCCCGTCAGAAGAGAGCGAAGCGCAGTCAGAAGCGGGAGAGGAGAGGCTTGCGGGGACTGCGACTGCAGGGAGGAGCGAGCCACGAGGAAGCTTCCCCAGGACAGCAGGAAAAGAAGAAGGCGGCACTGATGAGCAGGCTGAAGGCCCAGCGGCCCGAGGAGTGCTTGAAGCACATCGTCGTGGCACTGGACCCAGGTCCTTCCCTCTTCTGTCTTTGCCCTGAGCCGTGCAGGCTGCATCCCGGACACCCGCTGACCGGCCATTTCTGTGTGTTGCAGAGCTTTTGCAGGCGGAAGGCGGGGGCCAGCTCCTCGGAGCGCTGCAGACCATGGAGTGCCGCTGTGTCATTGAAGCACAGGCTGTGCCTTGCAGCGTCACGTGGAGGAGAAGGGCAGGGCCCGCTGAGGTACAGGTTTTCCGGTGAAGGCTTTCGGCCCCTAAGAGTTACAGAATCAACCTCGTATTTTTATTTATTTACTTATTTTGGTTGGTTTTTTTTTTTTTCTTGAAACGGTCTTTCTCTGTAGTTCACGCTGGCCTTGAATTCATTATGTAGCCCAAGCTGATCTCAAATTTGAGGCAATCTTCCTGCCTCAGCCTCCCAAGTGCTGGGATTACAGGAATGTGCTATCATGTCCAGCTGATATTTTATTTTTTAAAATTAATTTTATGGGGACATTTTATTTATTTATTTATTTATGTGGTGCTGGGGATTAAACCCAGGGCCTTGTGCAGGTAAGGCAAGAACTCTACCACTGAGACACATGCCCAACCCGATACTTTATTTTTTTATTGGTTTGGTTTGGTTTGGTCGGTTTTTTTTTTTTTTTTTTTTGGTTTTTCTCCGGTACCAGGAACCGAACTCACGACCTTGTGCTTGCCAGGCAGGCGCTTTGCCACTGAGCTAAATCCCCAGCCCCATGGTTTGGTCTTTTTGAGACAGGGTCTCACTATGCAGTTCAGGCTGGCCTTGAGGTCACATTGTAGCTCAGTCTGGCCTCAAACTCGCAACAATCCTCCTGCCTCAGCTTCCCGAGTGCTAGGATTACAGGCGTGCACCATCACACCTGGCCAATATTTGTTTTATTTTTCTTTTAAGGTAGGCTTGCTATGTAGTTCAGGCTGCCCTGGAACTCACTATGTAGCCCTGGCTAAATTCATACAGCGATCCTCCTGTCACAGCTTCCCGAGTGCTGGATGTGTTTATATTCTAGATTGGATAATTCTTTGTAAGGAGGCAGGCACTGTCCTTTACACCCCCATCCCTGGGCTCTACCCACTGTATGCCAGTAGCACCCTTCCAGTTATGACAATCAGAAATGCCATTTGTTGGGACTGGGGATTTAGCTCAGTGGCACAGTGCCTGCCCAGCAAGCGCAAGGTTGTGAGTTTGATTCCCGGTACCGGAAAAAAAAAAAAATGCCATTTGTTGGGAAAATTCACCTCTGGCATGGCTTAAACTAGGAGGGCTGAGAGGAGGAAGCCATCAGCTGAATGCAGAAGAGAAGCATAGGAAGGGCCACCTTCAGAGGTGCTCTGGCCTCTCGTCAGGGGTGCAGGAAATGCCAGGTGACCCCCCTGGAAAGGAGCCAGAACAGAAAGGCCCAGACTTTGCTCTCTCCAGTTGCCTGTTCGGGTTCCCAGCTGTCTGCAGAGATTGGCTCCTTGGGCAGGGGGAGGGACCGAGGGCCTCCCGCACACTAGGCAAGTACTGCACACAGCACTGCACGAGGGCGGTCGTCCTTTCGTATTCAGTGTGTGGTGACCGAGTTTGGCCAGCTGTGACTGGGGAGGATGGGAGTGGTTGTATCTTGCCACCAAAACTTCACACAAGGAGCGTAATGCATATGGGGCAAGTAGTAGACTCACCAAGCTGCCCTGGGCCCTTACCCGGCTCCGTGCCTGCCGACCTCCCTCCTTGGGCTGGGTTCTGGGTCTTTGACAGGATGAAGAGGCCTGGGTGGAGGAGCCAGTGATCCTGGTGTTGCTCCTGGCAGAGGCTTTTGTGTCCATGATCCGAAATTTGAAGCAGGTGAGCAGGGCCAGAGGATGGGGGCCACACACGGAACACAGCACCCACTCTTCCCAGGGAGCCAGCATTAATCCACTTCCAGTCCTGCCCACAGGGAAACCCAGGCAGCAGTGAAAACCGGAAGGAAACGCTTGAGGGCTTTGTCACCGACATCACAGCAAGGGCAGGAGGGAAGGCGCTGTCCCTTGTGATTGTGGATCAGGAGAAGTGCTTCAGGTTTGGGTTTTCCCTGAGACTGGGTGTTAAAAGGGGTGGGTCCTGGGCCAACAAGTGAGTTTGGTCACCCCAGCTGTGCGTCACTCTGCCACTTGGTGTCCCCAGCAAGCCCTGTGGCCCATGCTTGCCCACTCTTCTTCCAGAGTTCAGCCTGGAGCTGCTGTCCTTTTGTTTCCTTCCCTGCTGCAGGGCTCAGAATCCTCCCAGGAAAGGGACACAGAGAGCGGCAAATAAACAAGCTAAAGAAAAGCAGCAGCAGCGACGAGGGTCCAGCACGGCACCTGCGGTGTCCAGGGTGGACATGGAAGAGGTAAGGACTTCCTGATCCTGAGGCTGGTGGGTGCTCCCTGGCCATCAGCCCGAGTTGCTATGGAGACCGAAGAAAATGCCCACTAGATGCTGCTTTCTATGTTGGCACCAAGTGCACAGCCGGGCCCAGCAGGGAGTGCAGGGGCGAAGGGGAGCGTGACTTCCGGTGAGTCGTTGTGACCGTTGGGTCTCTAGGCACTGGTGCATCTGCAGCTACACACAGAAGCACAGGTCCGAGTTGTGCGGAGCTGGAAGGAGCTGGCCGACTTCACCTGCTCAGTCACCAAGGCCGTGGCCGAGGCGCCCTTCAAGTGAGTGCCCCCTCGAGGCCAGTCTCCGTGCTGGGCCTTGCCTCCCGCCACAGCCCCAGGGCCAGGGAAAGTCCCTTTCCCCTCCGCACCACAGCCAGCCCCGTCACTTCTTGAGGCAGAAGGAGCCATCTCCTGCTGTGGATTCCCGGGACAGCCCTCAAACCCAGTCCCTGGCAAAGCGTTCTTTAGCCATGTGAATGCAAGTTCTGTAGGTCACAGCGGGTCAGGTTAGCCCAGCTCCTCACAGGTCAGACCACGAGGAAATAAGCCCTGGGAAATCAAATGTCCGACTGGGCTCAAGGGTTGTTCCTACTCAGAATTTACAATGAGTAAGGGGTCTCCAAGACCATCCTGTCCCAGTCCCTTAGTTTAGACTGGAGGTCCCTGAGGCCTGAAGAGAGTGAGTTGTCTGAGCTCTAACAAGTGAGAAGCAGACACAGACTCCGATCGCCCTTTGCATCAACTGCCGGGCAGGCCAGCCCCATCTCCACACAAGCAAGAGTTTGGTGCCTCCTTCTCTAGTTCAAAGCACTGGGAGTGGTTTTACAGGAGCCCGCAGCTAGCAGTATTCTTAGGGACAGGCGAGCACCCAAACCACTGCAGGCGGAGGTGGGCCAGATGTAATGGTGTCCACCTGTAGGCCTCCAGTGAAACGGCCAGTGGAGGGGTAACGAGCAACTCATCACCCAGCGGTGCTGTTTGCAGGAAGCTTCGCGATGAAACTAGCTTCTCCTTCTGCCTGGAGAGCGGCTGGGCCGGAGGGGTGAAGGTGGACCGCGCCGGCAGGGGACTTGCACTGGTCTGGAGGAGACAGATTCAGCAGCTGAACCGGGTCAGCCTGGACATGGCCAGTGCCGTCGTGGATGCCTACCCCTCCCCACAACTCCTGGTGCAGGTACGCCGCTCTAGGGGTCCTCCCAGTGCCCCAGGTCCACAGGAGGCCCGAGATGTCCTCTCTGAACAGTACCGAGGTCCATAGCATGCCCACGGGTTGGCCAAGGTGAGCATTAACACCGACCCAGGGAGGGAAGACGGGCTGTTATCCTTCAGCCCAAGTACCCCCCACTCCTAGCTCACAGGCAAGAGGTAACCGTCAACTGTCACAGTATTAAGAGGTCATTTCCTGCTTCAGGCTTATCGGCGATGTGACTCAGAGCAGGAACGCCAGCACCTGCTGGCAGACCTCCAGGTGCGCCGCGGGGTGGGTGTAACGGCCACCTCCCGCCGAGTCGGCCCAGAGCTGTCCAGGCGCATCTATCTTCAGATGACCGCTCTGCAGCCAGACCTCACTTTGGACACTGCTGACTGATGCCGGCACACAGGAACAACAGCGGGAGATTTGCACCTCCCCAACCCGGACCCCAACTGGAACTGGAAGCACATCCCAGGGCGCCAGGCCAGGGGAGCCTGGTCTTAGTCCTTTGGTCCAAGTCTCTGTATCCCAGGGCAGAGGCCGACACCAGCACCCGCCTTCAGGCACAGGTCCTCCCCTAGGCAAAAGCAGCTGCCACCACCAGCCCTCAGAAAAGAAACAGACGGACCACTCGGACACGCATTTAATAACTGTAGAAACCTGAAAGAATCAGCATCAAATCTCAAAGTCGGAGTGGCTGGCATGGCTGGGTCAGCCACGGCGCTGCCTCGACCGGCCCGGGAACCTCACACCTAGGCTGACTCCTGTGTTTCCACAACTTCGTTATATGCATTGTGTGTTTAGCTTCAATAAAGCATTTGGACCATGGCCCTGGAGCTTGGAGGAAGACTAAAGGAATGTGTAGTGACTGAGTAAGGGTGGACCTATGCAGCAGAGCTACCCGAGGGAGGAGAGAAAAGTCCTTTCTTCCAGAGCAGGACCATCACAAGTGACAGCTACTGAGGGGCGCTCTAACTGAAAGCCAGACTCCCTTCTGCCTCAGCTGTGACAGGACCTTGCTCCCTCTGTAGAGTGAGCACTGAGACAGTCGCTTTGATCCCTCACCCGCTGTTGTAGAGGAGCCAGTGGGGACAAGGGAATGCTTGGGTCTGGTGGCCGGGACGGACCGTGCTGCCCCGGTGTGGCTCGTCTATAGTGTGCGCCGCTTCCCAGCTCCAGGGTGCTGTTTGTTTCCCTTTATTTCCTGTCCCATCCACTCTCCCGTTAGACCAGAACCACAGGGGTAAGGCTCAGTGTCTGCGAAGCTGAGTTTCAGGGTCCCTTTAAGGTATTGCATTGCACAGACTGGGCCACGTTGCGGAGGTGGCCTCCACGCTCCCCAGAAGTTAAGCAGTCACTGCTCCAAGCTGAAGGCTTGGAGCTGGGCCTGCTGCCCCTGCTGGGAGCCGCGCAGGTTGGGGCAGACCTCCCCCCGGAAGCTGCCTGAGACCCCAAGGCGCTGGTGCTCTACTGTGAGTCATGAACTGGTCTACCGTGCGAGGCTACACTTGGCTGAGACGTAATTCTGGCAGGAGTTCTGTTCTCTTAGGATGTTACTTATAAAGGAGGCCAAATGATGTCAAAGAAAGCATGGCAGTGGGCGGCCTGTTATGCCTAGAATGGCTGGGAGACGGCAGGTGAGGCTGGAAGGCCTCAGTCTGCCTGTGAGCGTTAGCTGCACTGACGGTGTCCAGCTCCCTTTCGCAGCCAGGTTTGTGTGGTCGCTGAGACGCCTGGGTGTCTGGGGTCCTTGAGGAAACTGGTGCGCCCCTCCCCAACTTAGGCTGGCTTGCTGAGGGTGCCATGCTCTGGTCCCCAGCAACACCATGGCTCGAGGCCTACCCGGCTTCCCGGGGAGGAATGAAAGAAAGGGCTATGACATACAAAAGTATCAACGTAGTGACAGCTGACCATTTAGTAGAAACGAGCCTTGCCTTTAGACAGCTTCTGTAGTAACTAGAAAAGGCTGTTTTCTCTCCCCACCGAGAAGCCTACTCCTTTAGGCATGCAGGTCACTCCCTCCCACCTCCCGATCCTCCTCACCCTACCGGGGAGCCCTGATGAGACACGGAGTCCCACCCGAGGGGGCCCCCAGTACCAGTTGGCAGCCGCGGATGACGGCGGGTAGGTGTGACGCTAAAAAGAGGTTGTGTCCAGCAGAACCCAATTCCATAGGAATCCAAGCTCCGGGGCTGGGAGGCAACAGGGCCCGGGCCAGGCTCACTGCTGAGAGTCGGCCTGCAGGACCCACTGGAGGATCTCGTGGCGCCGCAGCCCCTGCACGGCGTTGTCATAGACGGTGTTCACGCTGGCGCAGAGCGGCTGCTGCTGCAGCGCCGTCAGGCGACACGCGACCAGCCCGCCCCCCACACACAGCAGCAGCAGCAGCAGCAGCAGCTTCAGCACGACCCAGGACCGAGCCTGCTTCCGGGGTGGTGGCTTGCGGGGGCGGGAGCCAGACTTGGACTCTGGAGGGACAGAATCACAGTGGACAAAAGTTCCGTCAGTGTGCAGCGACCCACTCTCCACGAGGTACATGCGTTCTCCACGCACCTTGCCTCAAGCCCCACAGACAAATACCAAGCTCTTATAAACTGCTATCCTTGGAGCCAGGCATGGTGGCGCACACCTGTAATCCCAGCATTCGGGAGGCTGAGGCAGGAGGATCGTTGCGAGTTCAAGGCCAGCCTGGGCTACAAAGTGAGCTCAAGGCCAGCCTGAACTGCATAGAAAGACAGTGTCTCATAAAGACCAAAAAAAAAAAAAAAAAAAACCCAAACCGCTATCCTTCCTTGTTGGGAGTGGGGCCCACACCTGTAATCCCAACGCTCAAGGGGCTGAGGTGGGAGGGTTGCCTGGAGTTGAAGGCCAGCCTGCGTAACTTAGTGAGACCCTACCTCAGAAGGGCAGAGGATGTAGCTCAGTGGTAAAGCCCTGCATTCAATCCCCAATACCATCCAGAACCAGAAACCTGCTCTCCAGAGACAAACATAACCGTCGTCTCCCTGAGCTCCCCGGGGGACCACACTGGAAATGAACCCAGGCTGCGTGTCCTGGCAACTCAGTGCCCAGGGTCCTACGCTCTCCTTGCTGGCATGGAGACCCAGGTCCATTGGGGCTGCCTGTGTGGGAGACAGGGTTATTGACACTGAACGCCACCACTTCGTAATGGGGCAAAGAGCCTGAACGGTGACCGTCAGCAGTGATTACAGCAGGAAGTGGGGGTCACGTGACTGCTATGTTCTGAGATTACACATTTATCCTTCCTAAATCCTCTATAAGGAACATATTTATAATTAAAAATAGGCCTTGGGATTTTTAGGTAAAAATTTATAAAACTTGACTGAGTACCCACAAGACCAAGGGCCACACTTCTGATTTCTCCTTTAATCTCTATCACTACCCTCTGAGTAGGTCTGAGCCTCATTTTCAACCAAAATACAAAATAAAAAGGGGCCGTGCAGACGGACAGCCTGCTCCTGGCAAGGCTGAGCAGGCGTGGGCACTCTGACACCTCTTCCCCCTGGAGCCCTGTGACCCGGGGGTACACACACCCAGTATGTGGCGCCCCTGCACCGCTAACTCAGCTGCAGGCCCCGGTGAGACACCCACAGAAGCTCGGGACTGACGCAGTTCCTTGAATGCAGACTTGTCTAAGGTTTTTGTTTCCAGACAGGGTCCTGCTACGCAGCTGGCCTTGGACTTGTAGCGATCCTCCCACCTCAGCCTCCCAGGTGTTGTGATGCTAAGTTTGTGCACCACACCTGGCTGTCCAGGTGACTTTGGACGCCCCCTTAACAGAAAGTGAGATGGCTTCCTGCCCTAGGTCTGCTCCACAACCCAGCTGACTGAGAATATCAGGACCGACCACACACCACCCCTCCGGCCCTCGCTGCTCCCAGGCACGTAAGTCCAAGGGCTCTGCACCATGCCCGCTGGAACCTTGCAATGCAGACCCAACTTACTCGGGGCCTGATTTGCTTCCTTCTTGGGCTTCTTCTCCTGCTCCTTCTTGGAGGCCTTGAGGGCGTCATACTCCTTCCGCCGCCGCTCCTTCTCCTCCGCCTTCTCCCGCTTCCGCAGCTCCCGCTCCTGAGCTTCCTTTGCTCGCTGCTTGGCCTCCCGCTTCTTCTCCACCTCTGCAATAGAGCCCACTGAGCGTGACTCCTCCCTCACGCTCCCCGCTCCTCCCTCACGCTCCCCAGCCTGCTTTCCCAGGTGGCTTAGTGTGGACTCAGCCACTTTGTCCCTTATGCCATGGGCCGCTGAGAAGTAAAGTAGTAAAAGAAGCCAGGTGTGACGGTGCACACCTATAATCCCCACACTGGAAGCCAAGGCGGGAGGATCACAAGTTCAAACCCAGCCTAGGCTATTTAGTCTCAAAATAAAAAAGCACTGGAGATGTAGGCCCTTGGTTCAATTCCCAGTACCCCCCGACACACACAAAAAGCCAAGTCTGGTGGTACCTGCCTGTAATCCCAGCTACCCAAGAGGCTGAGGTGGAAGTCTGGAGGTCAACTTGACACCAGCCTGGGCAAAGGCAACTTGGCAAGGCCCTGCCTCAAAATTTTAAAATGAGCGGGCAGGGGTATAGCTCGGAGGTAGAGCACTAACTAGCATGCACAAGGCCCCGTGCTCAATCTCAGCACCACACACACAGGAAGAGGGCAAAGGGCTGCAAGCAGGACAGATCAGGGTGAAAGGGAGGGGGTGAGGGTAGGAGGCCTGGGTAGTAAGCCTGGCATCCCTCCAGAAGAAGGTACCAATTCAGAAGGCAGAGCCAGCTCAACCAAGTGGCTTGTACCTGCAGTCCCCACACTTGGGAGGCTGAGGCAGGAGAGTCACTTGAGCCCAGGACTTCAAGACCAGCCTGATCAACATACCAAGAGCCCCTGTTTTTGGTACTAGAGACTGCAGTCTAGGCACTCTGCACTCTGCTAGTCACCAACGCTTTTTACTTTGAGACAGGGTCTAGCTAAATTGCTTAGGCTGCCTTGAACTTTTGATCCTCCTGCCTCAGCCTCCCAGAGTGCTGGGATTATAAGTGTGTACCATCAATCTCAGCCAAGACCCTAACAAAGCAAAGCAAAACAAAAAGAGAAGACGGGGCACTTGGCAGCCTCTAGGACTCAGAGGAGAAACAATGTTGGGTCTACAGGACTCCTCCTCCCGAGCATCAGGAAGGAACGTGGCACAGGGAGGGGGCAAGTGAGCAGAAGGGACCAGTCACCTGAGGGACAGAGGCAACCACCAGGTTTTTCTGAGAAGTGACACAGTTTGTCAGAACCAACTCCTGACTTTAACTTGGGAATCTATGTAAAAAACACAGATTTTCTCAGCAGCTCAAATCTGTTTACACGCAGTGCCCGACTTCCAAATTACTGGGTTCTAAAAATGCACTTCCAAGTTGGTTATTTGGAAGCCTGAGATACATTTTTCCAAAGCCAGAGCTCCACAACATGGTGGTTAGCGGTCCCCCTAGGGCTTAGAAGCTGACTTGAGCCCTGACACAGCGGCTCGCCTGCCACCTCCTCCCGCCCGTGTGCAGAGGAGCTGAGCTGAGCTGAGCTGAGAGCCAGGCCAGGCCCAGGACCCCAGACACGCCACACCCACTCCAGAGACAGCGCCGCCACCTGGCGAGGCACAAGACAGCAGGGTCACTGGCTCGGGCAGTGCCCGGAGGCGGCACTATGGCGCCTCCTCCTTTGGCCACACAGCCCTGGGTCAGAACACTCACAAGTCAGCCAGCCCGCAACGTGGCCCCTGCAACCGCAGTGGCATGGTGGCAGTGTGAAGGACACACTCGTCCTGCCGTGGGGACAAAGCCGGGTCAATGGCCCGCTGGGCACTCCAGCAATCCTGGGTCTCACACTAGATGGAGGGGGTCAGTTTGAAGCTCACAGCAATGTCACTGATCACGTCTGAAAAGCCTCCCCAGGGGCTGGGCATGGAGCTCAGAGGGGGGCTCTGCTTCGCCCTCAACAGGTCCCGCATCTAATCCCGCACAGGGAGAACTACACCATGGAGTGGACAGCAGGGACACTGGGGAAGTCCACAGGCGGGGACTCATTACAGAGGGGTACAGACAGTCAAACGACAGACCGGACGTGGGACGGACAGGAAAGGAAGCCAGGCTTCGTGGGCACATGCGGAAGGCTGAGGCAGGAGGACCGCTGTGAGCTCAGTGCCAGCATGAACTACACGCAGGACCATGTGTCCAAAACAGAAAACAGGCGGGAAATCACAGCCGTCACCATCTCAGCCCTCACTGAGTCTGGGTGTGGGCATCTCCCATGTGGGGGCTGCAGCGCGGGGGCTCTGCTTTAGCCACACTGTGTTTGATGCTTCTTTGCTCCGGCAGGAACGGGACATGGCGGAGCACTGGGCCCGCGGTGCTAGGCTGACTGAATGGCCCACACTGCCCTTGGCAGCACCTGCGGAGTCCAACGCTGTGAGCTGGGAAGGACCGCCGCGGGGACTGAAAGGGGCCGGCCACCTACCTCGCTCCACTTCCAGCCGCCGCTGCCTCTCTCGCTCCTGGTCCGCCTGCATGGCCTTCATGTGCTGTAACACCTGCAGGGAAGGAGGGCCCAGGAGGCCAAGAGCCAGATGCCCTGTTCAGGGCCCCGGAGCACCGAGGCCCCGGGCAACATGGCTGTGCAGTTTCCTGTCTGTGTCTGTTACCGCACCAAACGTAGTCCAAGAATCCCGGGAGCCCAGTTCATTAAAGCTGTCTAAGGGGCTGGGGATTTAGCTCAGCGGCAAAAGCACCTGCCTGGCAAGCGCAAGGTCGTGAGTTCAGTTCCCGGGACCGGAGAAAAACCAAAAAAAAAAAAAAAAAAAAGCTGTCCAAATCTTTCTGTGTGAAACACAGTGCTGACTGGAATCTGTGAAAAATTCTGCCACTGGTAGTGTAAACCTCTCCTCCTAGGTACTTAGGAGGCTGAGACAGGAGAATCTCAAATTCAAAGCCAGCCTGGGCAACTTCGTGAGACCCAGTCTCAAGATACATGTTTTTGAAAGGGCCGGGTGTGGCACAGTAGTAGAGCACTTGCCTACCAAGTACAAGGCCCTGGGTGCAAGGCCTTGGGTTCAGCGCTCAGCACAGGAAAGTACAGAGCGCTGCCCTGAATGACTCCGCCGTGCACGCTTTCACAGACCCCCCAGCAATGCCCGAGGGAGCAGGCCCAGCCTTCCTCCCCGCTTGGGTTGCCCTGGTCTCCTCCTTTCAGCCTGTAGATTCAACAGAGGCTGCTATAAGGATTCACCACCTCTGGGGCTCAGGCAGAATCCTGCCGCCCGCAAGGGCAGGAACTCTGGTCCTGTGGGTGGGCACCCGCCAGCTGGCACGTAGCACCTGCGAGACAGCCTTCCCGGCCCAGGGAGAAGGTCGGGGCCCGCAGGAAGGAGCACAGCTAGAGCCTGGGTGTTCCTGAGAACCTGGTGTGATGCTCTAGCTCACGCATGCGCGGAGATGACCCAGACAGCAAGAGGCACAGAAACAGTTGGCATAGCTAAGGGAGAGGCAACAGCCTGACACCATCCAACTCTGCCCCTTACCGTGGACCTGGCAGTGACTAGACCCTTCCGTACCATGACCCCATGTGGAAGATGCACCACACTGCCCTGGCTGACTATCGAGATGGAGCGGGCTGATATGACCGCTGCCCAGCAGAAACACCCATCATGCAGCTCAGAGACGCCGCTGCCTTATCACTTGGGCTTGTCACAGGAGGGAGAGAACCCGGACTATTCTAAGACAGCAGATACATCTTATTGTGGTGTGTGTGTGTCCTCACGCATAATTCTGTTTTATTTAAGGTGGTTCAGACTGGCCTTGAACTCTCTGTAGCTCAGGCTGGCCTCAAACTTGACAGGATCCTCCTGCCTCAGCCTCCTGAGCGTTGGGATCCCAGGTGCACACTACCAACCCCATCTCAAATGTAATGCTCCTACAAAACCTCAGGTAACCCGTCATAAACAGGGCTTTAGGAGCAAAAGAACATCCCCGCAAAAGCCTGTTTGAAACCAAAAGAAAACTGTCCTGAGAAACCCAGGCCTGGAGCCTGCTGCCATCACTCTTACGGGACTTAAGCTTATAAAAACGTCTGCTCAGCCCTCTCGTGTGTGGGATCCAGGAGTGAGGGCTTCTCAGGCCCTGGAGGAAGGGCAAGTGTGATGACAGGGCCAGCCCAGGTTCAAAGTTCTAGCCTCAATGAATATTTTTCTTTCGTGAGACAGGCGCTCTCTATGTAGTTCTGGCTGGCCTTGAACTCACTATGTAGCCCAGGCTGGCCCTGAACTGTTGGTGATCCTCCCGCTTCAGCCTCCTGGGGGCTGGGATCACAGGTGTGTGCCACCACGCCCAGCACGCCTTGGTTCTTGTAACCAATGAGTAGGATGGAGGGCGAGCCATAGAAACAGTTCTGCGTGGGTAGATTTTGAGAGTCACAGGAGTCCCCATTATGCACACACCGGACGTTTGCTAACTCTCCTCAGCAGCACAGTCCCGGTTCAGTCTCTGACAGCCCAGGAGGCCATCTGGTGCCCAGCGGAAGAAGTGACAATCTGCTCTAAAGCTGGAGGGGGCGGGCTGGAGCCAGTGTGAGATGGTAGAGAGAGCTGAGAGATGGTGGTAGAGGACCATCCTCAAGGAGCAGGGCAGTGTCATGGTTACGGGCCACCAGCAAGGTCACCTTGTGTGGCACCTTTAATACTCATCCTGTGTCACATGACCCAACTGTAACCAACCAAATGCCACATCTGCCCATGACCTCCCTGTTTAAAGCTACAAATTTAATATCTTTATTGTCAAAAGTCCTTTTGACTAACTAGGGCCCAGAAAGGCTCTGAGGGCTGGGGGTGCGCCTCCGTGTGCAGAGTTTGCCTGGAAAGGCCAGGGTCCCCAACCCTCTTGGTCCTTTAAATAGCTGTCACAATCATGCCACCCTGGAATGTGCAAGTCCTGGTTTCCTAAAAGGGGCCACAGGGCCATGCAGCCAAGATGGTGTCATCCGACCCATTTTGTCTTTCTTCCAGTACCAGGAATTGAACTCACGACCTTGCACTTGCCAGGCAGGCGCTGTGCCACTGAGCTAAATCCCCAGCCCCAATGAAGATAATTTTTTTTTTTTTTTGGTGGAACTGGGGATCCAACTTACGACTTTGCGCTTGCCAGGCAGGCACTGTGCCACTGAGCTAAATCCCCAGCCCCAATGAGGACAATTTTTTTTTTTTTTTGGTGGAACTGGAGATCGAACTCACAACTTTGCACTTGCCAGGCAGGTGCTTATGCCACTGAGCTATATCTCCAGCCCCGACCCATCTTGTGTCATCTGACACAAAGGCCTGTGCTGCCAGGCAAAGTGGACTTCCCAGAAACCTTAGTGCTTTGATCATCCTGGAGCCACTGGAGCCCTGGGAGTAAGAAAACAAGAGGCAGGGCGGCCCCGGGGGAGCGCAAGAGGCACACCGGAGAGCTGGGCTCACCTTGTTCGCACATTGCTTACACTGCTTCTCATCCAAGCAGTCGCCTGCTACTTTGGCCAGGACAGGGTCCAGGGGGTTGTCCTTCAGGTCCAGCCACTTCAGGTTCTACAGGGACACACAAAGGCAGCTGAGCCCGAGTCTCACACACAGGTCCAGAACAAAGCTCCCATGTCCCACCCACAGGAGGGACATCTGAGGCACCGCCCCAGTGGCAGGTGATAGTGCTGACCCTTCCTTACCCCACCCGGGCACAGGGAGCCTCACCTTGAGCTGCGCAAAGCTGACGGGCAGAGTAACCAGCCTGTTGTTGAGGAGATCCAGGTGCTGGAGGTTGACCAGGCGGCCAAAATCTGCCGGCAGCTGCTGCAGCTTATTCTTGCTGAGGTCCAACTTCACCAGGTGTGTGAGGCCACAGAAATCCGACTAGGGCCAAAGAAGAGGGGACCCTTGAGCCAGGGCCCGCGTTCTCTGGTGGACCTACCCAGCCCACCTTGAGGACTCAGTCTTGTGACTTGGAGCACCTAGCACAGCATTCTCAGGTGCCCAACGAGCGTCCCTGTACATCTGAGTCAGTGGCTGCGCCCACCCCACCCACAGCCTGGCCTTCTTCCTCGGACACCTGACATCCGACACTCAGCCTGTCTCTGCCAGGCCCCATCTCAGCTAAGGTGACGCCATTCATGCTCTGCAAGGCCTGGAGGATGCCCTGGAGGAAATGGAAGTGGTCAGGACAGGCAAGATACCACACACATTGGAAAGTGCGCCCGGGGGTGCTGAGGGCTGTGCAAGGGGGACAGCAGGTGTGAGGCTTCCAGGAAGAAGTGGGACCTTGGATGCTTCTTGCATGTCAGAAACAGTTCTCCATGAGCTGCGTGACGATGCCAAGAACAGCAAGCCCAGGAGAACACTGAAGCTGTGTTCTAACAACCCAGTAGAGACTGCCAGTCCCTCCACTTGCACCTTAGACCAGAGCTCACCAGGAAGCTACCCTGGAATACAGCAAGGTGTGGGTGGGGGAGGGGTGGAAGTGGTGACAGTGACAGGAGACGTGAACCTGACAGTGACAGAGCACGACCACAGAGAAGCGTAGCCCTACCCAGCAGAAGCCAAGGGGCCAAAGGATCCAGGGCCTCTGCAGATGCAGCAAAAGGAGAAGCAGGAGAAGCTGTGCAAGATAAATTCAAAAGGCCAGCATGGTGCCAGACGTCTGTAATCCCAGCCCACAGAGGCTGAAGCAGGAGGATGCTGTGAGTTTGCCAGCCTGAACTACATAGTGAGTTCAAGACCAGCCTGAACTACAGAGTGAGACCCTGTCTCAAAAAAAAAAAAAAGAAAAGAAAAAAGAAAAAAGAAACACGGAAAGAAAGAAGGAAAGCAAAAAAGAGAAGAAAAATTTAAAGGATCAGGCACAGGTCAGATGTGCTGAAGAGAAACGCAGCTAATCTCAAGGGATTCAAGTTCTTCCTTGAGAAGACTTGATAAGGATAAGGGTACAGATAAGGATAAGGATAACCCAGTTCATAAAAATCGCTGACTTTCTCCTTGTCAGAAGACAAGGGGTGGGGGAGGGGCTCGTACCCAGAAGCTGTTCACCTTTTCCCTGGAATCCAGAGCAACTCACAAAATGGTATCTGGCCTCCTCTATGCTACAGGGAGGTAAAGGACTTTTCAGGAAAAAAAAAAAAAAAAAAAAAAAAAGCCCAGTAAGTGACTCAGCCAGCAGCCTGCGGGCTCTCCAGCTGTTCTGGAGAATGAGGCCTGGACCTCCACTGCTCTCCCTCTAAAACGCCCTCCCCACCTCCAACATAAGTGCTTGGCTGGGGCCTGCCTGGAGGGTTATCCTGAAACCACACCATCGGGACCCCCACCCGCCCCGCCCCACCCCTCCCCGGAACGGAAGGAGCAGGGTCCAGTCACTCAGCAAGCTCACCGGCAGAGTGCTTAGTTTATTGCAGGACAGATCCAGTATGGTGGCCTTTGGAAGCGCAGCCTAGAGAAGGAGATAAGAAAACTACGTCAAACCAACACCTGCAACAATCCACTGACATCTGCTAATGAAGCATTTTCCACAGAAAGTTCCCACGATCAGGAAAGGCCTGGAGGCGCATGGCTATAATCCCAGCACTTGGGAAGCTGAGGCAAGAGGATGACTTCAAGTTCAAGGCCATCCCGGGCTACAAAGTGAGTTCAAGGCCAGCCTCAACTGCACAGTGAAACCCTATCTCAGAAAAAGGAAAAAAAAAAAAAAAAGAAAGAAACAGCACTGAAACCAGGTACAATGGCACATATCTGTAATCTCAGCACTGTGGGAGGCTGAGGCAGGGAAACACAACTTCTTGTCCCACGTGGGCAAAAAAAAAAAGACACTGAAGGTACAACATTCCTGAGGATAAGAGGGTAAAATGAAGCAGTCCACCATGATTTAAGGAAAAATGCAAAGAGAAGGGTTTAGCTGTGGAACACCCAAGACAGGAAAATGTCAATTCCATAGCACTTTGAAAATTTTTCTGGCACCTGCCTTAGTGGGTTTCAGGGCCTGTGTCTAATGAAACTGTATTGTGGTTCTCTCTCCAGCTCCGGGCCTCCTCAGAGAAGGTCCTTGTTGCCCATCCGGGCTGGCTGCCTCACGGCTGAACAGATGAATGAGGGACACCTGAGCGACAGAGAGGCCCTCGCGGCCCAGCTCTTTCCCATGGTGGCCAAGGCTGCACTGGCTCTGCAAAGGTGACTCTTCTCCTGGGGACAGTGCTGCGCTGACCAGATACCTGGAGTAAACGGTATTGGTCCTATGGCCGGGCTAGAACAAGGTTTCAGGCATTAGTCCTATGGCCGGGCTAAAACAAGCCTGGCATCTTCCCATGCAGGAAAGAAGGCAAGCATTCAGTTTAGGAGCCTAGACCAATCTGCACTCTCCAACTGCCAGCAAGTCCTAAGAGTATAGTTTAACTACCTAAAAAAAGTTTTAGAGCCAGGCGTGGGTGGTGGCACCTCCCATCGCAGCACTTGGGAGGCTGAGGTGGGAGGCTTACTGTGAGTTCCAGGCCAGGCCTGAGTTCAAGACCAGCCTGAACTATATAGCAAGACCCTGTCTCAGAAAAACAAACAAAAAAGTTTTGGAATCTACTGTAGGAAGAACACCCTAACTTCTCCACCTATGGGCATCTGCCATCTTTCAGGCATTTTACATTACAGTTTGAATCTTCACAGTCCGTGTTTGAGATGGCCCCATTTTGTAAATGAGGAAATCTAAGCATGAAGGTTAGCTTGCCAAGGGCGCTCAGCAATTGGGCAAGAGAGTTGGCATATGAACTGGGAATCCCATTCTAACCATCACACTCACACAGCCCCGGTGCGGTGGAGCGCATAGCGCATACTGGGCCAGGTGCCAAGGGCAAATGTAATTTCAAAGGCAAGGAAAGTATAGGCCAGCCAGCGGGGCGGAGGTTGGGATCTTGGTTTGGAAAACCAAGGATATGGGATCCAGCTCCACGTTTGCAATTAACTGGGTGTGTGATCTCCCAGGGGTCTCGGTTTCCCGGGTGGGTGGAGGGTGGAATTCCCAACGGTTTCAGAGCGGCCGGAGGGAAGATTTCACTTTCTGCAAAGACGGCCACCCCGGGACTGCCTGGGGCAGCCAGCGAGGAGTGCCAGCTCCCTAGAAAAGCCGGATTCCGAGCCACACCCAGGCCTAGCAGAAGGGCCCACGTCTCCCGGCCCGACTCGTTCATTCATTCTCGAACCCCTGCAGCCTCCGCTCAGCGGGGTCCCGCACGGCGCCGGGCGCTGGGCAAAGTCCCCCAAACAAGGACAGGTTCATTCCGGTCCCCTAAAAAGCCCGGGGCAGCGCGCAGATCGACCTCCTCGGCTCCGGGAACGGCGCCAAAGTGACACGTGGACATCCCAGAAGAACCCTGGGCGGACGCGGCCTCCCGGGGGGCTCCGTCCCTCCCGCCACGGTGAAGACGGGGACACTGAGGCTCGGGCTGCAGGCGGCCCAACAGGGACTCCCAGGCCTCGCGCGGTTGTACTGACCAGCTCCTTGACGGGGACCTCGTTCAGGTCGCTGAGGCTCAGGTCCAGCTCGTTACCGTCCAGCTTGTCGCGGAGGTTCCCGCCCTTACTGCCCGCCTTGGTCATGGCGACGCCGGCTGAGCGGGCCCCGACTCCGGGCTCCGACGGACGCGCGTGCGGGGCTCGGGAGCCGTCGTCGGCTCAGCGGATCAGGACCCAACGGACAACGCCTGCGCTTCGCCGCCGCCGCCGCTGCGAGGTCGCTGCCGCCCGCCCGTCGGCCGCACTCTGAGTCCCGCGCCCCGCTCCCACCGGTGCCGCCGCGGCGACGGCCACTTCCGTGTCCACGTCACCTTCCGCGGCCACCGAGACGCGCTGGCCAGAGCGGCCTGCGCGGGAGCGCGCCCACCCCCTGGCGCCCGGGAGAGGGCACTGCACGGCGCTCCCTGGCCGGACGCCGTGGGTCGGCAAAGGTGGCCCGGAAATGGCCGGGGTTGGACACTAGAAAACCCAAACTGACTTCATCAGGTCATCCTCCTCCCGCTGGATTAGGAGCAGAAGCTAGATGTCCTCCAGAATTGCTGCCTGCCGTCTATTTAACCCCCAAACCACAGTCCATTTCCTAGATTTCTCTCTTTGTCTCAGCCCTGCGTTCCCCACTCCCGTCTACCTCTTCCAGCTCCTGTGATCTTTTCGTTTGTTTGTTTATTTGGTTTGAGTCTTTTGTTTCTGTTCTTTGTTGTTTTTTTTTTTTTTTTTTTTTTTTTTTTTT